GCTGAAGGATGAATCAATCCATCACTTTTCATTTAAAATAATGCACTGGACCTTGGTCAAAAATATTACTGATATAAACAAATGGCACGGTTGATGGATCACTCTGTTGCCAATAACCAATGAAAAATACCTGAGTATTTTCCCTTAGTTTGGCAAAGTCCTCTTTCTTGATTAAAGCTGGCAGCTATAGGGATAAAAGGACATCTGAAATACTGTACCTGATAGACGTTCTGATGAAACGTGTTCCCCAAAGGCTTGAATCCTACCCTTTTCTGCAAGAACTGTGACTCCTCGGAAGGGTTGACTGACTTTAGGAGAGATTGTAAGATGCCTGCTCCTAGTACACTGATGATTGAACAGATGTGGAAACAGTACCTGAGTCATCCCAGCTTACAGCTCAGCATTTTAAAGAAATTTAAATTTGTTGCCCATTTGCCTTAAACCATTATCAACAAAAGTAACACAGGAGCTGCCTAAAAAGCAGGGTAGACATCTGGAGGAGGAGCTGACCACCCGATGCAGTAACCTGGTATCTTCCCCAAGGGCAAGTCACCCTCCCTGTGAATCAGATCCCTACAGCTACAGTTGCTGGGTTGGGTTTGTACTGTCTGTGGAGGTCTCAGACTGAAACGTACAGTGCATCACGCTTTGGGAACATTTCCTCTAGCCTGAAAATTACAATCTGCACCAATAAAAACAAAAGTACCAGAATGCTAATCTTTCATTGCCTCAGACTCATTTGCTCCTTAAAGATGGGAAGACTATTTGCATATGCATTGATTAAATGGAATGCGTTTGTTGTTTCAGATGCATTCATAGTGAATTGTTATAATTTAATCTAGGCTGTGCAGGGTCCTGGGGGGAAGCAACCAAGTGCAATATATATCTGCATCATTAAAAATAATTTAAGTGTGATGACAGCTGGAAAATAACCATACAAGTGATTTCAGGGTGTTCCATATTTATTCCCTGGTAATGATAAATCGTTGTTGATTTTCTCAGTTTACAAGTGAAACGGCAGGTTTTTAACACATCAGCCTTCAGTCTGGGCTCGTAAATCAAGTAAACTGAGCAGACACCTGCCTAACATTTAGTCCTTGTTACTACAAATTCAAGCTTCTCACATTCATTCATTCATTTAATCCCCCAAAGTCCCCTTAAGCTAGATAAACATTATCTCCATATTACTAATGGAGAACTGAAGCATAGGGTGTGTGGAAAGTAACTTCGCAGAAAGTAGCTTTAAAGGGCTTTTAGACAATCTACAAGTCTTAATCTCAGAAGTTAGCTGAATATTTTTCATGTTACTCTAGGTGATTTCTTCATTGATAAACTGCCTCTGACTGAATCGACCATGTCTTCTGGGACCAAGCATGGGTTACTGTCCTTAGTAACACAGGGAGTTAACATGTGCAATGAAAAAGTGCCATTTTTATCTTAAAGCAGAATTCTAAGTAGAATTTTGTTAGAACACCATCCTGTTGTGATATTTGGGGAATATGACAGGGGTTAATGGCTGGAAAGATTATAGGTTTATTGATCACACATAATCCCTAAATGTTTTTTGAACTGTATTTAGGCATCACTTAAGCTGCTGCTGGAAAACAACCACATGTGAGCTGGAAGGCAGCAGCTGTCAGAGAGCTCAGAGCACTATTACATGACAATTGAGAGGGGGAAGTAAAAGAGGTCTCTTTCTCATGCCAAACAGTCTTGTGGCTAAAATCTAGCTACCTACTGAAGTACAGTGGCAACTTAAAGAAGAAAGGCCACACTGGAAAAGGAAAACTAAAAGTCACATTATTAAGGAAAGATGTAAAAATGAAATTACCACATTCCTGCTTTGTTTAATATGTACGTTTCCCTGGTCCTCAGCATAATTAAGCCCTCAGTAGGGCTCTCAAAAATCAATATATAAAATACAGCTGCTAAACTCGCTGTCAGTTTCTGTACTCGCGTGTGCACTGACCCTTTCATTCTTTCCTTCTGATGTAAGACAAAGTCAAGGTATGAACCAGATAAAGGCAAATGGAAATATAGGTACTATGCAGTAGAATTATCCCAGAACTTTGATGTAAATTGGCCAATAAGACAGCTCTGCAGTACTGTTTTCTGCATGGAGTGTTTTCCCAGTAAAAGAGTGGTTAAGTCTTGTCTGGTAAGACCAAGACATTACAGTTATTTGGAGGTGGGTAAATAAGGGGCTTGAAGACCAAGGTCAAGGCTGCAGCTTGATCCTCTCAAAGGCTAAAATCTAGGACCTGATTAGAAAAATAGTTCACAAGTATTGGCTGTCCTAAATATGTTGTTTTGGTCATTCTCTGAATGCCACCACTAGTTTGGTTAATTACAGGGAAAGACAGTGATAAAAACTTGGTAAACCCATCCAGTTGTTCTGTAAATGCAATTATTATTGTGCAATACAGGAGGTCTTGTCATGGACAAGACCCTTTAGGCTACAAGAACAAAATAAACAAATGATGTATATCCCAGTGCTCTTGTAGGTAGCGCAGCTGTGATGTTTGCCCACTAAATAATCATGGGGGAAAAAATTATAAAGTATTGATTTCTCTGTAAGCAAGAGGACTACCCAGAGTTTTATTTACCTCAGGAACACTTCAGTCATTCCTGATTCAATCAAATGCTAGAAAACACAGTTTTGCTCTGCTGTCAAGGTAACTTATTGTATTAGATGTTTCCCAAAATATCGAGAGAATTACATATGCATGAGTCTCCAGGAAAGCTCATGAAGGAAGGATGCTAATGTTCTTGTTCTTGAAAGAATATCCTCATGCTGTCACAAGGTATTAGTGATATTGCCACTTTTCTTTTCCGGCTATGGAGTTTTGTGGGCATTGCTCATCTCCAGCCATTCATCAGCGTCTGTCAGGGCACTTTCTCTTACATTCGCCACCTTGAAATGCTGTAATCATTGCAGCGGATTCCTGTGGCAGAAGTCTGACAGCGGCCACCCTTTCAGGTTAGGTTGGGGTTTGCTGTGGGGCTGGCACATGGGAAGTGGGGCAGTGAAGCAATTGTTGCCGTGGACCTTCGCAAACCCCTCTGGCCAGTGGGAATGCTCGAGCTGGTTATGCTGGATTTTGGGTAGTTTTGAGAAGCTCCCTTCCTGTAGCACTATGTGGGATTGTGCCTTGAACATAATGGTAATACACAATTGTTGCGCTTTATTGCATTTCCTTCAGGTTGCTGTGGAATCCAGTGTTGACCAAGTATTGATATTTCTTAATATGTGAACTGAATTCAATTTGTAGCTTAAGAAATCCAGAACCTGTGTATTAGAACTTCTTTCTTTCAATGTCTTCTCTCCTTTATAAGGTAGCATTCAGGAGTGTGAGAAAAGTGACAAAGGTGTGAATCTTAATTTCTGAAATTTTGGGTTAAACTTGCTTGCTGCTTAGGAACAAATGCATTCTCTACTAGCAATGGGAAATACTCTCACCGCAGTCTAGACCAGAACATGGATGTGAAACATCAGCTAAATCAAATGTCTTCAAACAATCTCACGGTTGAAATGGCTATTTGCTATGTAACACATTTGTCTAAATTGGACTCAGTTACCATATACTGAGATCAAGTGTGTTGTCTCACTGAAACAGGGGTTGTTAAGGCCAAAGACTGTGTTTGTGTGGCTGGTATGTAACTCACTGTGGATGCAGCTGAAATACAGGAAACAATAATAAAAAGTGGGTCCTGGATTTGAATTTTTCTTTTTGACAGTCTTTCAGTAATAACATAGCAGGATTTAATCACTATCAATTACAGGTCTTAATTAAATACTAGTAAGTACTTATGACTGTGATAGTGGAATAGAAATAGCTACCTGATGGTTTAAGGGCTGTTTATAGGAGTAACTGCTCCTGAATAAACATAAAACTTTTCTTATTTGTCTCTGAGATTCAAATTGGAAAAAAAACATAAGAAATGCGTGGCAGACATTTTGGTTTTGAGGATCTTGCTTTTGTCATAGAGTGGCTTCATTTTTTTGCAGTTAATAATTTTTGCAAAGTTGTTTGTTCAACTGCAGGGATATTTTGTGTAGTTTGTGGATTGCATGTTCAAAATAGAAGTTTATGCAAACAAAAAAAATCAAAGTAGATCACTAATAATTTGTGCATGTAAATAATCCATTGTAGATACCATCAGTTTAATTGCATGTGCAGATTAAAATATCTTAATTTGAAAACAAACCTCTTAATATTCAGTTTATATTTATGTCAAAATCTGTTGAGACATACAATAATTTTATGATAATTAACAATGTGATGACCATAGAAGTCTTAAAGTTTGATTTAGATAAGTACCAGAAATATGGTTGTTTATCCATCTTACACATCTCTTGAGTTTTCTTCCAAAATTTCTGGTTCTTTGCGCCTTGAGGGAAGCTAGACATGTATTGTAATTCTGCATTTGGTTCTCACTAGACTCACAAGAGCAGAGAAAAATGAGAAGAAAATCACTCATTCATTTTTGAGTTTCCTTACAGAAGGGTAGTTTAAGTTGGGTTTTTTTTTCTGTCTACTTTCCTCATTATAGTGGTAGCTACAAAGCTGGAAGAGTTATATGTGTTTGACTTATTAGTAAGTAATTCAGATCTGGATCATGTGAATCTTTTAGATCTGGGGGGGTTTTTTGTGCAAATTGCTTCAGAGTTGTCTTATTCTAATCTGTGATGTTAGTAAGCTTCTACTGCAAGCTTAATGATGGATGCCTTAGAGACCTGTGCTACTAATTATGCTGTGAATTTTTTCTTAGACTGTCTGCTCTTTGCGGTAGGTTAGGAACTTGATCCCCAGCATCAAAAATTACCAACTCAACTGTAATGAAATAAGAAGCTGCTTCCTGTGTGACATGAAAAGGCTGCGCTTAGCAGTGTTCGTGTGATGGTGCTAAGCAGGTTGGAGCTGGAACACCACTGAACTTGGCAGTTTCCTTGTTAAGATATTTTAATCAATCCCACTGCAATGTTTTCTCAATGCTAGAATTCTGCCAAACATCTGGCTAGGAAGTTGCCCTCGGCAGCTGGAGCATGTAACCGTGAAGCTGAAGCACGAGCTGGGTGTTACGGCTGTGATGAACTTCCAGACCGAATGGGACATTGTTCAGAATTCCTGGGGCTGCAACCGCTACCCAGAACCCATGAGCCCCGAAATCCTCATGAAACTGTACAAAGAGGAAGGTCTTGCCTATGTCTGGATGCCAACCCCAGACATGAGCACTGAAGGTAATGCTCAGGCCGCTTTTGCAGTACATTAATAGTAACAAACTGTTTGAGTTACTAATCTGTCACTTTTGTAACTGGTTTTTTTTTTCTGTGTAAATTTTGCGTAAAAATATAGCTAACACAAGGTATAATTTCTCTGTGTGTTGTCTCTAACAAATTATTCACGTTTTCTTGTAGGCAGAGAGGCCATCTAAAGTACTTTGCGTCTGGCAGTATATGTGTATTTGAGTTTAAGGCCATCCGACATTGATAACTGCTTGACTGTTTTTGCTTTCAGCTTGAATTCAGCCTGCATAATGAAAATGCTGTGTAGGTGGAAGACTGCAAGCTTGCACAGCAGGACAGCTTGCCCTCCTTGCTGGTTAAAAATGGAGACACAGTGCTGTATGTCTGCCTCTGCTATTCCCTTCCCCCAAGAAACAGTTTTTCTTTAACTATAGTATCCCAGTCTGATGAATCTTCATAGAGTCATTTATATAATTATTTGTAATTAATTTAGAATACCCATGGCACCTGCTGTTGTAGCATATATTATTATTATTTTTAATTCCTCCGTTGCAATGCTCAGTTCAAAATCTTGTTTCCAGCCAGTAGGTTAGAAAGTGTGCATGTTTTCAAGTGAGTGGCCTACCAGCAGAAGAGAGTGCTTTCAATAGAGTGAAATATTGCTGCCACAAAGAGAGAACTGTCATATCAGTAATAGGACATCGGGGAAGACAGGAGACGTTAAAAAAGGGATTTGAAAGGGCTTAATGTCAGTGCTCATTTGTGCCATGAGGAAAAGTTAGGCTCTGATGTTTGCAGCTTCAGTTCCCAGGGTAGCAGGGAGAAAGGCATCAGGAAATATGGTATATTCATCCCTTTGGGAGTGAGAAAGGCTGTTCTGTGTTGTTTAACCACATGCATAGTACACAATTAAATCATAACTTATTAAGTTGTACAGGAAAACACTCTTCTGCTCTCCCTCCCTCCCTTATTATTGACATAATGGCCTTCACTACAATGTTTTGGAAAGCAGTGGTACATAGGTAGCTTCACAAGCCTCTAGTACTAATAGCCATTTCATTTTTGGCCTGCTAACTTTAATGCTATATAAGATGTGCTATTTGATGTAATTTGCTGACTTGTCTCAGTTCCTGTGAAAACAAATATGCCACACACATCCAATGTTAATCAGAATGTGTATTTAGAGAAGACTTGGGGTGTTTTACAAATTTTGTGTGATCCGAATCTATGTTGCAAGAAAAAACAAAGTTAGGGTAGAAGGTCATTTGAAAAAAAGAAAAAGAAAAAAAAAGAAAACTCCCCAATTATGTCAGGTTTGCCATTATGATTCATGGTTTATCAGGCTGTACAGACAAAATCTCAACTGTGAACCTAGCTTTCTCAAATGCAAATGAACGTGCCTTGTTTTTGACCTTAGGAAGAATACAGATGTTGCCGCAAGCTGTCTGCCTCTTGCACGGGCTACTGGAGAATGGACACACTGTCTACGTTCATTGCAACGCTGGCGTTGGCAGGTCTACAGCTGCTGTCAGTGGCTGGCTGAAGTACGTGAAGGGATGGAGCCTGCGGAAAGTGCAGTACTTTTTGGCATCCCGGAGACCAGCTGTCTACATAGACGAGGAAGCTCTGAATCGTGCTGAAGATGATTTCTACCAGAAATTTGGGCATCTTCGTTCTTCATGCAAAATACAAGAGTAGAAAAGCAGAAGCAGAAAAGGAAGGTGAAGAGGAATCCTTACATTTGAACCCCAAGGACTTGGAAATCATGAGTCGGACGCCTGCCTCTCCTCTTCAGATTATAAGCTTGTCATAAAAGTTGTGAGAATTTTGTTAAAAAACTGCCTTTGAGGGTTTTGTATTTGCTTTCTTTAAGCTGTTATGATTCACGTTTTCAAGCCTTTTGCTGCAAGTATGAGACCTAGAAACTCTGCAAAGGGAAACTAAGATTTTCTTTTAACTACTTGCCTACAGGAACTAGAGGTTTTAGGGTAGACACTAAATAAGATGTGAGGTGAAATAGAGTTGGCAATATTTCAGTGACAAGAAAGAGAAGGCGTCTCAGAAAAACAGATACAAAAGCTGACTGGATTAAGGTTCGGGTTAGGTTGGAGCTGATCATTGTCAAAGCTGCTCAGTTATTTTAGGTGGAGTGTACGTTAAAGTGTTTAAACAAAAAGCTAATGTCTAATGCAGTGAGCTAAAATTTGCTCTCTTTGCCTATCTAGTTAATGTTAAATATTATGAGTTTCAACTATATTCTTTTATGACATTGGGGTTATGCTGGGATGTGGCATGAAGAGAGGAAACAGCTCCACTTACTGCAGCCTTACTCTGTTGCAGGGAAGGACTACTATTTATTACACTATTCTAGGCTGTGAGATCTCGAAGTCAAAGATACATTCTGGTCCATGCAGCACTGTACAGTGGGCTCCCTAGGTGCCAAGTCAATCTCAGCAGTAACCACTGGGCTAAAACAGGACCTATAGGAACTATGTGATAAGCCTCTGCACATGATTGACACCACAGCCTCTGTGTTGTTGACCTAGATTAATTTCTTCACTATAGCAAAAGTCTCTCCTTGTGCAAGCAGTGTGTGGGTGTTCACAGATGGTAGATTAACCGACTGAAGCTAATGCTGGGCTATCCCTGTTGGCTTTGTGGATGATTCCTAATGTTCTCCAGCACTGCTTAGTCCCTTAGCTAAACTAAGCAGTGGCATCAACAGCTTCCAGCCCTGCTAAGGTAAAACCAATTTGCTGTAGGTTAAGTCCAAGAGAGAAGGGAGAGAAAATATTTCCTAAGGAACAGAGGATTAAGGATGCAGAAACATAAGAAACCTAATTTCTATAGGTTTATTCTTCAGTGAAATCTCATTTTTTTCCAGCCAACTTGTTCCTCTAAAGACCCAGTCAGTGCCAGAGTACTTTAGTTGATGTATTTTGATTATCTGAATACTTAATCGAGAAACAATTAGATATGAACTGTTTATAGAGACTGTCCAGAATAATAGAATATATTTTATTTATCCTATACTTCAATCATCTTCAAAAGGAAAAATGTTTATTTAAGTTATTCTTTATGTGTGGTTTTGATCATTACTTTGTGTCTGATTTTTTGAAATGATACTGCCTGTTTAGAAAATGGATAAGTTCTCCATTAAATAAAAACATAAGGACAATTCTAGCAGCCCATTTTGTCATATGTCTTTGGTGCCCAATTCATGAGTAGCAAAAAGGGTCATGACTGATATTTCTATATAGAGGTGGGACCAGACACTTTAATGGTAACAGCCCATTTCTTGTCTGCTATGCTGTGTCAGTTTTGATGGGCTGTTGAGGTGGAAATCTCAAAAACCAGCACAGCCAAGGTGTGTGGATGATATGGCACCTCTGGTACCTCCAAAGACAAAAAAAGGGTTTCTTCTCCTAGCCCGATGCAGAGAGCAGAGGGAGGGTGTCAGCGCTGCTGCCTGGCTGTGGGGCTCTCATGCGAAGGCGCGGAGCTCCAGCTGACCGCCCAGGAGTTACCTTGTTTTGACTCAGTTTCAGATAAAAATGGTGAGCTCTTGCTACCGCTTGCCTCTCAAAATCAAGCGCTGGGAGGAAGAGGATGGCATAAGAAGTAGAGAGTAGAACTCACTTAAGTTTTGCATTTCTGTTGAGATACATTCGAAACCCCAAGATTAAAATGTGTTTCCAAGCACCCCTGACGGACAGTCCTTTCCATCAGATGCAACTTGTAATATATGTTGGGACACGTACTTGTGGGTTTGGTTCTTCTTTCACAGCTAACTATATTTCTCTTTCAGGGTTCTTGGGACTGAACAGTGCATAACATGGCACAAACAAGTAAGTATATGACTAAGTAAGTATAGCTGTGCTGTATCGGTTATTTCCTAATTCTGATGATAGCGGCAATGGAAGCAGACTGGTGCTTCATGAGTAGGGCAGGAATTCAAATTATACAGAAGCCACAGATTCAAGGAAGCCCTAGCAAGGGGTTGTTAATTGTTGTTTATTGTCATTTCAGCAAGGGGTTGATTCATTGCTTATGGTCATTTCAGTGTGCTTGTCTGCTGAACTGCTGGGGGACTATATCATACATAGATTGCGTTAGCCGATGAACTGCATGAAAACAACTTGCCAACATCATGTTAACAAAGAGTGCAAAGAGATTCCATGGCTTGCAGTCCCTTTGTACCTATTTGTAGCATTTTTTTTTCCTCATTGCCACCTTCCTGCCTGCCTCATTGAAGGCCACCCTGTTGAGTAACATTCATTCAAAGCCTTGTCTTTTGAATGCAACTAGGAATTTAAATGCTAGAGATACTTGCAAAAGGCTACAGCAACAGAAAAAGCAATCATATAAAAATATTCCATTTCTCCAACTGTATAATTACACAATAAATCTACATCAAGAGATTATCTATTACCATTCCAATTTGTAGTATGTTCTTATGCTGATTGGATCATTAGCTCTTTCCACAGAGTAGCCTCTTGATGCAATTTGAATGAAAGGATGAAGACAGTCTCTTGTTTGTAGACTTGTATATTTCCTTGCTATTTTAGTCATAGAAGTGCTACAAAATTTAGAGAAGAACAACTTCTATAGAAAGAACTAGAAACAGATATACAGTAATGGTTATTTTAAAGTGGGGCCAAGAAGCCAAAATAATACACACGCTATAATGGGAACCAGGTAGAAAAATTCTGATAACTCATCACTGAAAAGCATCAGTTGGGGAAAATGCTTTTCTGCTGGTGTGAGCATCAGTATTCTCTGCCCTGTTACAGCCAGGTTTTTACCTCTGTTAAATTAAAGAAGAAAGTAGAATTTGCTGCATGAAATGGAAACATTTATAACTCCAGGTACTTAGAGTATCTCAGTGTCATTATTAGGCCAAACAATAGCATATATTCTTTCCTAGGGCTATGTACATGAAGGAGCTAAGCAATCCTAACTCTTACAAGTGATTTTATAAATAACACAGCCCCTTGAGAGATGGGTTGGGCTTTGAGGGCTATAGTTTCATGAATATTTTTCCTTTTGACATCACAAAAGTACTCATGAGAATCTTCTGCATGACATTTTTAGGTAGGCAATGCAGCCTGGTGAAAGGAGACTGGGCTGGCACGACTGTTGAATACCTTCCTTTCTCCCTTACTCCTTACTTGTTATTTCACACTTCGATCTTTGGTCCCTTTGGCACTTGTCTGCTCTAGTTGCTTAGGTTGTAAATTTATGGTCTTCCCTCTCTGTTTGTACAGCACCAAGCACAGTGAAGCTCTGGATGTGGCTGGGACTGCAGGCTTTATACCAGGCTGTACTCTGGAGTAGTTGGAAAGTCTCACACCTGGCAACTGAGTTGTGTGTGCTGTACAAAACCATGTGTAAACAGTGTCTCTGCTCCAGGGTCAATTAAAACTTGAGACTGCCAGCCAAGCTGTCTGGGGCAAAGATAAAGGAAAAAGATAGGCTGTAGGCCGTGCAGGAGCAGGTAAGAAAGTCCCTATTTAAAACAAGAATGCAAAAAGTCAGACTTGCTCCATTACCTACTGTGATGGCCTTTTTGAATTCTGATTTATAAAACCAACTGACTTTACTGGTCTGTAATTGAGAAAAAAAAATTGATTTGAAGTAGTCAAAAACATTTGCCATAACTGTATTACCCTCTTGCTTCTTTTCTTCTTCATCATTAAATTGCAGTGAGAGGTTTCAAACCAATGATAAAGTTAAAAAAAAAAATGCTTTAAAAAAATACAGTGGGGCTGTGCAACAGAAAACTATGAAGAAATACTTAGAAGCATAATAAGTACCACAAAAGCATATATTTGGCAAGCAAGCCCTACCTTCTTGAAGGATAATGAACATCAGGCTGCCCTTAGCTAAAATGGAATTGGATTAATGTAGCAGAGGACAGGATATAGATGACTCTCTCCAACTCTAACTGTTTACACTCTCAGTGGTAGATAAACACCTCTGCAGTTGTTTCTTTAAAAATACTCTGCTGGAAAAAAAAGGTGTTTTATTTTCCATATGGATGTAGCTTAAAGGGAAAGGGGCTGCTCTGAGGGAGCAGACTTTGGAACGGTGGACGTATAAAGGAATTAATCCTTTCTCGGTTGCTCAGCAGCACAATGACATCACCAACAGCAAGACCAAACCATATGACTTCATAATCAATCTTCTTCTTAAGTTAACAGAGAAAAGCGTTTTTTTCAAGGGCAATGACATTACCGTATTTTAGCATAATTGCATGGTTGTGATATAAGCAACCAAAATACATGTTGTTGGTCCTTCAGTTATGCTACATAGTGAATCTATACGGTGTTCATTCTTAATGAGACATATTTTCCTCTTGCTCCACCCTTTCACCTCAAGATCCTTCATTCCAGTCTTGACTGGTTTAGAAATGGTTTTGTGGCTAAAAATTGACATATTTGTAAAGATGAGTGATAAGTATTTTATTAAACCTTTTTTACATATCAAGGCTTGTCTGGGGATAAGGAAGTAAGAACTGTTATACCCTGTAAACCAAGGATGGTGACACTGTGAACCTTAGCCCTATATAATTCAACATTTTTGTGCTTAAACATGTTGTCTTATTTGGGAGATTGAATTTATAAAGATTGCAGGATAATGTCTGTGATTTGATAATTACTTCAATGCTGATGTTGTTATATTTACATCAAGGAAAATAGAAGGCCTGTTTATTCATGAGCTGGTAAAATATTAAATGATATCTCATTCTTGATTTAGATGATGTGAGGAAAAAGCATAAAACAGCTGCCAAGAAAAAAATGCTAATGCTGGGCAGGTTTCTGTGGTCTTTACTTAATGTCATTATAACAAAATTTGTTTTGTGCTAATGCAGTTTCAGCAGGGAAATAATTAACAGTCAGGCTATCATCCAAGGGTAGCAGCCATGGTTAAGTTGGGCAGCCAGCCCGAAGTCACTGCAACAAATCAAATGCTGAAAATGAATCCAATCTTCAAAAATTCAATAAAATACATAAGCACAGAGGTTAAGAAATGAATATAAAGATTGTATTTGGAGAAAGGCAAAAATATCTAAAGTATAATCCTAGCTAATGTCACAGGGAAAAATATTTAGTAGTGGGATAGCAAACACTGCAACTCACTTGAAAATATAATCAATGTGTTAGATAGAAGTATAGCTGGTATTTAAAGTTCACTGACCAAGTAAAGGGGTAGCACCAAACTATTTAGGCTTAAAAAGCAGTTACGATATTTAGCTGTATAAAGAAAGAAATGTGGAAGTGTAAGCTCTCAAGAACACAGATCAGTTGGGTACCCTCTCTTGGGCAACTAACTCATGGCGTGTACTCAAGCCGGTGAAGCTTTACGAGCACAAAAGTGGTTGCTGATGCACTGTGGTTTGGCAGTCATATAAATTCCTTGCATAGAGATGTGTTGTTCTGAAATAGGATCGATAAGGCTATGCTTTAGATGAACTGATGGGAAGGCACCTCTTAAAATATGCTCCAGATGGAAATCTAAACAGACATATGTCTTGATGGAGTCTTTCTCTTCACACGTGTCCTGCTGAAGCAGTAAAACCTCTTGGAGGTCTTTTGCCCCGCAACACCTGTGTGAAGAGCCAGAGTGCCAGAATGGGAAATTGCAACTGTGAGTAGCAGTGGCCTTGACACCAGTTAGCCCCTGCAGGTGAAATGGATTATTTAATTATTCTCAAGAATACTTGAGTGATTCTGTTTCTTAACGTGACACAAAGGATGCTCAACCTCAGTCCTCTGCCAGTAATTGGATGGGACAACTGCTCTTCTCAGTGCCTTCACCCACGGTGGCAGTGTGGATGCCTGTGAGCACTTGATCAGACACTATTTCAAGTACTTTGAATCTCCATGTTAATGTGGTCTAAATGATTGGC